CCCCCCCGATAATGACCTTCCACACGAGTTAAAACAACTGTCAGAATGAGTAAATAATTTACGAGTGAAATTGTGAAGAGTTTGAGACATTCGTGACAGGTGTTTCCGGACAATTGTGCGTTAACCACTATTTCCACGTTCAACGTTAATTAATTCAGAGTGTTTTACTGACTAATCACGCGAGATAAACATTTCGACGATTAAACACAACGCTTTTACGCCCGCAACATGCAGACTGTTCCATTATACTTGTTTATTCCACATCTCAAACCGAAAGTTCCTAGTGCTTCGACAAAATCCACTCAGCAAATACCGCGTGTTCACCCTCCGACAGACTGCTAATTGAGAAAACTCATGACTTGACGTAAGTAAAACTCAGCGAAAAAATTAAAAATGGGAAGTAAAAATAGACCGCCTCAGGAAACGCATTTCCTTCAACTCATTATACTTTCATCATGGAAATTCATCTGGAAAACATTCACCGGGGGCTATCCATCCACCACCGAATTTTCCACACTTTCATCCCTCTTATTATTTCAAAGTGTAGTAGTAGGTCACGGGGTTGGAGTTACTCGTAGTAGTTCTACTGTAGCATGACCTGATATGTATACTACCTAGTCAGCAGTGCAGGGGGGGGGAGGAGGATATGGTAATATCGGTGGATATTGTTTTTCAGTTATCTAGAGGGAGAATAAATGAACAAATAGAGTTGATGCCGCTGAAGGGGATGAAATATCAGAGAGAGAAAGGGGTGATATTAATGAAATACTCGTGAATTGTCTGATAATGAGCTGAAGATAAAAATAACAGTTATTTCATTGAAACTGATGTAACACTGGGTTTTGTCTGTCACACTGACAGGAAAAATTAGGTTTGTCAAGAGAATTTTATTTGAACCGTCATTTGGTTGTTAACTTTCAAATAAATATGACGCATTTTTGTAGTGAACATCAGTTATCTCTTCTTGAGGTACATTTAATTGGAAGAAATAGAACTTCTCTAGATTGCAGTTTTGTTCATTTGTCGTAATAATGGGAGTATTTGATTTTTTTCTAATTGAAAATTTGCTGTTCCAGGAATTCATTAATTTACATAGAAATAAAAATTATTCTTAGGGGAGGGCGGGATAATATGGAGATCTGGGGTAAAATGGACACTCAGAAAATTTACGAAAAAAATTGTTTTTTCAACATTCAAATTTTTGAAAATTGTTTCATTGGGAAATTGGACACTTGATAAATCCGTATAGGATGGGCTAAAATGGACGCTCATCATATCCCCATTTAGGCAGCCCATTTTAACAGCCCATTTCGGAGATATGATTTTTTATTTATTTTTTCGTTTTTTTTTTCAATAACTCCAGTTCTATTCACCCGATTTTTATTTATGATGCGTCAAAATTTTCGATTTTCTACTATCTATAAGAACTTTTTAAGTATTTTTTTTTCAACCCCTAAGTGCTCATAATGCCGAATTTTTTAAAAAGTTGAAAAAATTGAATTTTTAAAATTATGTGTCGTTTTATTGTTCTGATCTTTTCAGTAACTCTTGTAATAAAAACAAGTATTTTGAGCCGTCGTACAAGTTGGGTTTTGTTCTAGATCTATTTTATTTTCAATTTTTTCTTCTCAAAATTCCACGAATTTGGTCAAAATACCCCAAAGTGGCGTTGAAGTGAATTTAAATGTTCACTTATATGTTACATATTTTTTTGATACATAATCGAAGTCGTTTTGGGGAGTTTTGGCCAAATTCTCGGAATTTCGAGAAGAAAAAATTAAAAAAGAAATAGATCCAGGACGAATCCCAACTTATATGACGGCTCAAAATACCTGTTTCGATTACAAGAGTTACTGAAATCAAGATGAGATAAATAAAACGTCACATAATTTTGAAAATTCAAGTTTGTCAATTTTTTTTTTTTTTTGAAAATGCGGTATTATAAGCACCTGGGTATTGAAAAAAAAATTATCCAAATCTTCTTATAGATGGTAGAATATGGAGAATTTTGAGCGGTCATAAATAAAAATCGGCTGAATAGAACCCGAGTTATTGAAAAAAAACGAAAAAATAAAAAATCATATCTTCGAAACGGGCTGTCGAAAAAATCTGAAAAAATCGAGATCAATACTCAAAAGGGTGAGGGTCAGCCGTTGACTCATTTGGTACGGAATACCTCATATAATACTCGTGCCAAGAGAGAAAGACATCTCCATAAAAATAATTTTTTCTATCAGTGCACAAATGACATTTAAATGGCGAAGAGATAGCAGTAGTTGAGTAACACCGATGATCTCGGTGTTGATTATCGTTTCACCCCCGAAGATATGACGGTTATGCCTTCTGGATCTGATGTTGCTGATAAAGCGGTTTCCACTGAGGACGCCTCGGAGATGGTGCACCTTGATGCTGTTCTTGCTGTACTTGTTGAAACGAAAATAAAGGCCATTAAGAGGGCCTCGTTGAGCTCATCCAGGGGCAAGTGGCCCAGTGCACCAGCTAGCCCGAGAAGGCCGAGATTAATGTCCTCGTCGACGGCCTCATCATCCCAGAATCGCAATCATCAGGATCATTTTGATATTAAACATTTTGATAGGGGCGATATGGAGCAGAGACGCAAGAGTTACAGGCACAGGCGGTACGACTCAGCACCGTGTCAACAATTTATTGATGAGATCGATGGACCAGGTCAGCAGGGGCACCAGAATGCAATAGGTAGATTTTTGTTTTAGAGAATTTTTTAATTTTAAAAAGGTTTTCAAATGGTTTTTTATATTGATGAGGAGATAATTCAGTAGTTGGGGAGGTGTTTCAAGATCTTTTTTGTGACTTGTGACATTTTTTCCTGAATTCCCATTCCTGAAGTGACAAAATGACTTGTGAAATTTTTTCCTGAATTCCTTCATTACCGAGATAATTCGATATTAAGAGAAGAAAAATTGAAATTAACGGATGAATGATTTGAAAAATTCTTCACAAAATAAATGTAATTGATAAATATACATACTGTTAAAATTTTTCATCAATCAAATCCAATAATTCAATAATCAATCAAATTATGAAATAACGAGTCAAGTAAAAATCAACTTTAACGTAATTCCACTTCAGAAAAAAAAAAACTGACCTGTGGAAAATGAAAGACAGTTTTATGAATTGAATAATGCGGTGTTGATGTGATTCTCAAATCAATACAAATGAATAAATCATCAATAAATCAACGAAATAAATTCCTCAGTCTCACGAAAATTTTGAATCAATCTCGCTCTGAATGATACACCTTTACATGGATTAATGTACCCCCACTTCATGTACCCATTGTACATAAAACCGTTCTATTCTGTGCTGAGGGGAAAGTGGCTGTGACCGTGAATCCAAGAGAAAAAGTTGTTTTTAAAGAATTCCAATGAATAGAGCAATGATTACAAGAGTAATCCACCCATAAATTGCATTTGATTTATCGGTCCTTCGTGCAAATACTCCATGCTCACTGCATCGCACAAATAATTTGACAGTTTTGCAAATGCTTTCATGAATTCAAAATAGCCGACAAGGAGTCAAAAGCCCGAAGAAGAGCATCAGAAATGATACATCGAAATCCGAAGAAAAAGCGTCGCTACTCCCGTCGGATAAGTTCCCACGTACTCCAGGGTATTGACTCACCCATCGAACTCCCCGAGCTCCTCGACGTTGATCGTCTCCACGACGATTTAACACTGATACATTACGAGAGAACCCGCGAGGCACTGAGCGACAACGGAGATTTCCCGAGTATACACCAAAGTGCCTACGTCTCCCAAAGTGCAGCACATCTGTAAGTTCATCATTAATTCTTCCTCTGAAAATTTCACAACACTATCGATAGTGTAGGTTTTCCCACTCACTTTGTAATTCTGTTCTGCGCGCGATTGTCCCGTTCTCTCCAATGAAATTGCTAATGAAAGAGCTAACGGCTCAATGTTGATAAGGACTAAAGCATCGGTAGACTGTGTCCCTACAAAGTAGAGATGTGACCTAGTTTTGCGATACAGCATTTCTCGATTTGAAATATAGGATTGCACAAATACAGCCACTGATTCTTGGTCTATTTATATTTTCACGGAGTTTTCAATATCACGAATGTTCATTTTCTCATTTATCGATTTATTATCAAACTCTTCACTGGTTGGAAATTACTTTGGAAGGGGCCTTCAATTGAAAACCCGAGTTGAAGACCCGAGTTTGTAGCAAAGATGTCAGACAAGATATGAATGTTTTTTTGGGCTCAAACGAAAGAGCGGGTCGAGAAATGGCGTGCTAGG